GTGAACTTTTAACAGTAAAACAGTAAAAGTAGAATTTTTATTATTTAACAGTAGGCCGTCCAAATTTGGATGGTAGTTTTGTCGTCATAACCTAATAACATAAACCCTTACCGCGTAACCCTTAACATTTTTCAATAATTGTAGTGGATGATGCCATTGTCGAAAATTTCAAGCTTCAAGACTTAGCGTTTTGGATACATCAAACTTTGAACTCCCTTTTAACTTCTTTGGAAGTTGAATTTTGAAAAATCCTTCCTCAGTGCTTGTCTACGTTGTATAAGGAAGGTCTGTGAAAAATATCAAGTTTCTAGACCAAAGCAAAATACACGATTGGGTCGGATTATCGAATAAGTTATTGTTATAACCGAAAGTAGGGATACTATTAAATGCAATTTTATCTATTACTTTTCTATCACCAGCGATTGAGACTGTAGAATGCACAATGAAAAAATACTTTTGTAATATTGTTTTTTTAACGACAAAAGATTATCTTTGCGGAAACACATTAGATTTGCATTTCTTTGCATGAAAAACTAGATTGAAAAATTAGTTTAAGGTTCATAATTTTTCATATTAATAAACGTATAGATAACTCTATGGTTTGGCGCTAAAAGGGCAACAATTAATTCACAATTCACATCATCCTAAGGTAAAGGGTCATAGTAAGCATTTTGAATTTTTTGAAAAGTGAACAACACATTCTGTTCAAGCATATTAAATACTGAGACGCATAGAAATTTCAATCAATTCCTGCAATTTTCTTAAATGTGATGATTTTAACATTGGTACTTTTAACTAGAGATGGTAATATTTTCGCGGCAAAACTACTACGATTAATGGTTCATGTCTTCGTTAGGGTGGGATTTTCATTAAATACCACCCACACCAACATTCCAAACTGCGTTAAGACCCGTTGAAAAAGTCGTCTAAAGACTAAACCAATGAAGTTTTAATTGTAATTGCTGATGTTTGTTTTATCTTTCTTCTCTGATAGAATTATCCGGTATTATTATGCGGCANCATTCCTAGAAATTTGGAAATACCAGATGAAAGGTACAAACTGGCAGGGTTGTAAAATGACTCTAGTGGCCGAGCATGACTATGAATAACTTAAAACTAATATTGTCAAAATAAGAATGCAAATAGAAATAAATAGACTAAAATTATAAAAGTTTTATGATTATTTCAATAACTATTCGTTTCTGAGAAAACGAACAAACGGAGTCGCGTATAAAAGGTAGTTATAAATAAACCTTTTTAATTATTATCTTTTACCGAGATTGGTTTGACGTGATGTAATTTTACATTAATTTCACGAAGAGCAACTAGGTAAATGTAAGGAGGGGTGACTGCTTTTTGTACGTTTATTTCAGCAGAACGAGGCACCTTGCCTTTTCATTTTCGCGGAGGGTTACGAATAAAAGTGAAGGGAAGCACTAATTTAATTAAATTTCACTAGACCGTTTACTTCATCTAAGTAATACGATTCAAGTAGCTGTTCACCTCGTTATGCGAATGACGACATCAAAAGAAGTCTCTCCAAACATTACGATCCGGTCCCCAACCCCCCCCCCCGTAGCCGCTCCCCAGGATGATACGGCGTTTTGCAACACAGTAGATAGATGGAGGTAGGTTCGCTTTTAAAAGAAGTAGCGGAGCTACAATAAGAAAAGTAGCAGTTGGTCTTTACAACCCGCGGCCCCATCTGCCCCGTTCGGTGAAATGACAAGCGAGAAGAGCACTTGATTGCAGCGTAATTAGCAGATAACGTTCTAGCGGAGTGCTCATCCTCTAATCAAGAAAGTTGGCAGCGTTTGCCATTTTCAACTCATCGGATCGGTTCGGTTCGGTTAGCGTAATATGGCCCGATTAACAACTGATTCGAAACACTCATTAACGCGTCTATTTATCGGGCGCCTCCGTCAGAAATTAATGAATCGGAAGACTACAAAATTTTGACAACGCTTAAAGTTTGAGAACTAACAACCCCGTTGTTCTACATAAAGTACTTAATAATAAACTGTTGAGAACGATATGATCAAAGATTACGAAACCGTCTGGTAAGTGTGGCGAAAACATCGAACTTGTGATTCAGGGGAATTGCGAGTGACGGCGATATCTTACACCTACCTACATTAGGCCACTTTCACACAGTGTATGCAGTAAAAATCGCAACGACACACAAGTATATCCAAAATAAATTTATTTAAAGCGAACGCTTTCACACTGATGCGATTCGATATTAAAATCGTTGCAGTAAAAAATGTCGCAAAAATATATAAACAAATCGTGCGACAAAAATACTGTAGCTACGACACGTATATTCATTGCAACTTTGGTTTTATGCGTGTTCAATATAAAAATAATAAAATCTGGTAAAACAAATATTTATTGGACACTGTTAGAAAAGGTTAGAAGCGGTCGAAATGTGAGGATATCGTGGGTAGAAAAGGTTAGAAATGAAGAGGTATTGGAAAGAATAGGAGAACAGAGGACTCTATGGAAGTCAATAAAAAATATGCGAGATAGGTTGGTAGGACACCTTCTTAGGCATGAAGGTCTAGTCGGAGACATATTAGAGGCAGAAACAGGAGTTAGGAGGGGTAGAGGTAGACCTAGATTAGATTACTGTTCGCAAAAGTTAAGGATGTGGGCTGTTCTAGTTGTAGGGAAATGCGAAGTTTAGGTCAGGATAGGAAAGAGTGGAGGTACGTGTCCAACCAGTCTTAGGACTGACGACCTTATGATGATGATGACTGTTAGTGTAAAAGAAGAGTAAAGTAAACGAAGGTTGATTTAGAACTGAAGAATTTAGAATTTGAATAATTTAGGAAAGTTATGAAGGTGGAGCTAAGGGTTGTAGATAAAATAAGGGAACCAATAGTAAGAAAATATGATTTGAAAAATGCTGAAGATAGAAAATATAGAATTAAGTTGTTGAACCCAAATCACCGAAGAAACCCCTCATAAAATAGCAATCAGGACGGACAGCGAAGTACAAACGTTATGTGGTTAGTATGCGAAGTTGAAATGTTAATAGGGATTATAGGAAAGTACAGTAATAAAAGTTATTAGCACAGACGGATAGAATACAAAAGCTTTAGAATATAATGTTGACTAATATTTACACAGAAAGGAATATCATACAAAAGATTTACATATTTACACAACGACATTATATATACAGGGTGCTCTAATTGATGTTGGTCGCTACACAACTAAATATACGGTTTCACACATGTCCTGTGTCGTTCCAACTAACCGCGACTTGCAGTCATTAACATGTCTTTCTCAAAAAAAAATATTCAAATACTAAATAGAATTACTGTTTTTCGCTCCATTAGACACATACGACTAAACCAGACAATGCTGTGTTTTCTTCTAACTGATGTTACGACTGAGCACCTGCCCAGTCACCACTGAAGATGCCGTCAGCAAAGAACGGCGAAACGTTTGGAAAAGCAAGATTCCACGGACCACGGCCAAAAAGCCCAGAAGAAAACACAGCATCGAAATAAATATTCCTTTTTAATTTTTTATCATACCATTTTTATGTTTTTTTCGTATAATTTATAAGTATCTTATCTTTAATGATTCAATTTATTTGCTACGTGTTTGTTTCTTAAAAATGTTTCAAGTTGCTTTCTTTCAATAGGTATTTACATCAGTAAAGTTACTTTATTTTCCAATACCTATCTCCTTTTTCTTTTTTCCAGCCTGGGTTCACGACCCTACGCTAAGATTACTAGTCGTAACAATAAAAATTAAAAATAAAAACACAACAAGGAGAAAAGGGATACTCAGTAGGAAAGAGGAATTGAATTTCAAACTCATTTAATTTACATACGACTTATAAATCCAGTTTTCTTTCTCCCTAAGTGTGTTTCCTCATACAGATGTTCTTTTATACACATATGAAACAAACGTTGACTTATTACAGCTGGCAATCATCATCATGACTGATTTGCAAATTTTGTTGGACAATTGCCGAACGTTTTTAGTTTAATTTTGCAACCAAATTGTCGCTTACATACATTTGCATAAACAAACGAAGTGCTGATTTTTCATTAAACCACAGATTGTTTGTACTTTATTTGTTGTCGAAATACAATAATATCTCACTCATTTTTAATTTACAATCTATCCTAACTAATATTACGAATTCAAATGTGAGTTTGTTTGTTTACTACTATTTCACGCCTTAACTACTCAACCGATCATACTGAAATCTTGTACACACATTGCTAGGAGTACAGAAAAGGCTATAGGGTGTCTTTTATTTAGAGAAAAAATACTGTTCCAGAGGGATAGCAAAAATTAGTTTTATGTGGTCGTCGATGATATTTCACACGTGTGGATTTAGGACATCAACCCGGATAAAACCTGGTATAGGATGGAGTTGGTCCTAATTGATGATTAACTGATGACCAATGAAATTATTGAGTCGATATTAAAGAAATTTTGAGTCGAGTCAAACTGCTTCATTCTACTTCTTATTTTTTCCATTTTTCATTTCGTAAGGGATACCTAATAGGTACATACTTTGAAATTGTAAAGTAATGCAAACGTGAATTTCGAAAATTGTTATGGAAAATCGGTCAAGTGCCTACACCATTAGTTTGAAAGGTGGTTTATAATTATGTGTCTATACAAAATATGATGAAGTATTTACAATAGATTTTAAACTGAATAGAGTTAAGTAAGTCATTTGAACCGACGATTTCCTGATCGATAGATTGGCCGCAGGGATGTTAAGGAATTACTTTCATAGTCGTTTAATTTGGCATCTTGTGATTTATTCTTGTAGGGACGTACGAAAAGTAAACTTTAAATGACAAAATCCAATTTTTTATTAGAATTACGCAGGGTGTTGTAGAGTAATACTGTCAAATTGTTCTATAAAGCACAATGTTTGACAGCAACTTGAGCAAAACTGTTTACTATTGCGTGGAAGTTGGCAGCGGTCAATCTGAACATTTAATTTTTGACATGTAGAAATTCAACTCATACATACCTTTACTTTTGTTAGAGTGTGATAATTAAAGTAAGAAACTGTTGCATAAGGAATTAAAAGACCTTTCAAATCGTTGGTAGTTTGACTTGACTTTCCACTTAAAAATTCAAGAATGCTGGGCCTCTCTTCTTTGTTTTAGGGTTGAAATAATATGAATTAAGGTGTACCTTTAAACCAAAATCGACGTCTCTGAGCTTTTTGCAAAAAAAACATGCTGGATAGTATAAAATTGTACTGTTTTCAATGGGCTGTTCAATCTGTTCATTACTTTGTACGAGTTTTTGAAATTTCCAATTTAGTTTTAATTTATTTTACTCTATGACAAACAAATTGAAATTTTCTTTTCAGGGATGCATCGTAGATTTAGTAAATTTAATTCATGACGTACCGTTAATGCCCTGATCATTTTGTGCTCTAAATTGCAATGTTTGCTATACACACTATACATTTATACTTCACAATGAGCTTTTGTCTGAAGTGTGTAATTAAAGCAAGTTTGCTATTTTTAATCAGAAATTGAATATATTCCAGGAAATAAGAAAACCGAATTTATTTTACAGAAAGCTCATATATTGGCTCCTCGGTACATCTTTTTATTTTTTGATATCGTTGTATTTATCGAATAAAACGTGTTTTGCTCTTTCAAGGCGATGTGTATTTATCTGTGTTTTTTCATGACTTTGATAAAAGCGAATTCGTCATTATCAAAACGGCTTGCTCCGTCACGAATGAAAGAATAAGATAGATATAATAGAGTGAGAAAGAGATGGAAATTAAAACATTTCCTGCAAAAGAAAAGTATTTCGGTGTCGAGGTCCGATCTAACACGAACAATAGAAATTAATATTACAATTTACTGTTATTATTAAGTCGGCGCCATGTTAATGGGTAGTACCGAGTGCTATTAATTAATTGAATTATCGCGTTAGTTTTCGTAGATTAGTAAAGAAAACTTAACCGATATGGTGTTGTGCAATCATCAATGTGAATTTGAAGAGTGATTGGGGCGAAAATTGTACTTAGGATTAGGATTACGAAAAGTGGTGAGTTTTTAAAAATAAGAGTTGTTTATCATCCGTCTTGGTCATTACCTTGCATGATCGTCATCGTTAAATTTAGTGTTTCTTATGTTTTAAATAATAAGGGTGCTCTTTAATTATTACATTAGAAATGCCTCAATTTGATAACAAAGAATTCAAACGCGCAAGTACTAGTTGTTGTGTATGATTGTAATTGTAAACACTGAATTATACAATGGTTTTAATTAAGAATTTCTTTCATTAGAACAAAATATATTTATATAAATNGTTAAGAACTTGCGAAAAAGTAAGACTGTGAAATCATACAACTGAAGCACTTTTTTATTTTATCTTTCAATTTTTTGTATTTAAATTACATACCTACAACGAAATTTCGTTAGAAGTTATTATGTTTGATCTCAATCGGGCGCATTGGTTATTGTTTTCTCTTCGAATAGTTGTTCTCTTTACTATAAAGTTAGAGCGTACAATGTCCACCGACGCAATCATCAGTTTACAGAATCCTTATCTCTTTCTAAACATGTTGAAACAGTAACTTGTAAAGCTTCCAGTCTTTTAGGGTTCGTCTACATACTGTTCTACTAAAGAGTTTTGCAACATTACTTCTTACATTGACCTTTTCAATAGCAATCTACGGTTTAGTTATATGACTACCTTATACTGACAAGGAGTTTTTATAAGTTTCCCGTAGCTTCAAGGATATTCAGTACTTACTCCGCATTCTCTATTTCAAAACGGCGGCTACAATGAGTTATCAGGACAAATCACGACTACCAAAAATAAAATAAATTTAATATCAGCAAATTAAATATTACCTTCCTTTTTGTGATTATCTTTTGCACATAAAGTTTACTACAATGTATTTTGTTGTCCTGACATTGAGTTGCTTTTTAATGTGAGAAAGATTCCATATTTTCTTGGAAATTTCGAAGAGATAGCTAAATCTTCTTGCAACCGTGCACTTTACTTCGACTGCACGATCCCAAAATTGATAAAATGACTTCTAAAATATATTGATAGAACAAGAACTAGCACCTGAAATATTGGTCTATATATTCTGTTAAATTTTATTACTCTAATAAGGCGCAAATAATGATATTGTCGAGAGACTTCAATGATCGGTCANATGTGAGAAAGATTCCATATTTTCTTGGAAATTTCGAAGAGATAGCTAAATCTTCTTGCAACCGTGCACTTTACTTCGACTGCACGATCCCAAAATTTAGTTAAATGACTTCTAAAATATATTAATAGAAAAAGAACAAGCACCTGAAGCATCGGTTTATATATTCTGTTAAAGTTTATTACTATAATAAGGCGTAAATAAAGATATTGTCGAGAGTCTTCAATGATCGATCAAGACACGAACCTGAATAAAAGTATCCTATTTTGGCGTTCCTTCTAGCAAATTTTGATCCTAATACAGAGTGTTTAGGTTGTGAATCAGCTTTTGTTTGGTACTATCATATTTACATAATACAGGTGTTGGCTAATAGGGTTTAATATGAAATAATAGTAAGAGCCTACCAACTTGCAATACAGTTTACTAAAAAATTCTTTAAAAACTTTTTGGTATAACAATTTAACTTATTTATAAACATACTTTTTTGAATTTTGGTCTAGTCTAAAGCGTCACTTTTGTATTAGGTACATAATTTCTTTCCAGTGAAATTTTTTTAAATTTGTGCTTATATCATTGAGTTATACGTTGTTTCAAATGGTATTTTGACTACTATTTTACACGGGTGCAGCGACGGTGTGCGTAAAAAATTCCTTGTACTTACACTGTCTAAAATATTTTGTTAAAGTTGCGTTTTGTTAACAACATGCTTGTAAGTAATTATTTATTTGTATTGAATTTTAACTAAAAATTTGTTTTCGAATTAACATTAGTGACGTTTTTCTAGTATTTAAAATTGGAAATGTGAGTTTAACCAAATCTGTTAGAGAATATTACTAAAATTGATTGTTTTATGTCCATGGTAAAAAGTAATAAGAATGCCACCACAATGAAGAATATGCTGCAAGATGTAGTTGCTTTAACAATTTATTTTTGTCTATGGAAGTATTATCAAAATTTTCTAGGGACATTGTGCACTGTGCCGAAAATATAAGCGCCCACCTACCATTTATTCATTGTTACAGGTGTCGGAAGTTTTGGTCAAGTGTTTTGTTTGAAATCTGTTGAACTATCAAAGATAGCGCAAAAATTCTTTCACTAATGGTTGACCCGTACCGACTTTGATAGGAAAAAATTAAAAATTTTTAGAAATTAAGAATTTTAATTTAATTTTAAGAATTAAAAGACCTTTCGAATGATTGGTAGTTTGACTTGACTTTCAACTTAAAAATTCATGAATGCTGGGCCTCTCTGCTTTGTTTTAGGGTTGAAATAATATGAATTTAGGTGTACCTTTAAACCAAAATCGACGTCTCTGAGCTTTTTGCAAAAAAACATGCTGAATAGTATAAAATCGTACTAACTGTTTTCAGTGGGCTGTTCAATCTGTTCATTACTTTGTTTTAGTTTGTTACTCTATGACAAACAATTTGAAATTTCCTTTTNTGCTGGGCCTCTCTGCTTTGTTTTAGGGTTGAAATAATATGAATTTAGGTGTACCTTTAAACCAAAATCGACGTCTCTGAGCTTTTTGCAAAAAACATGCTGAATAGTATAAAATCGTACTAACTGTTTTCAGTGGGCTGTTCAATCTGTTCATTACTTTGTTTTAGTTTGTTACTCTATGACAAACAATTTGAAATTTCCTTTTTAGGGATGCATCGTAGGTTTAGTAAATGTAATTCATAAAACGTACCGTTAATGCCCTGATCATTTTGTGCTCTAAATTGCAATGTTTGTTATACATACTATACATTAGACTAAATTTTCAAAAAACAAAAATTTAAATGTATACATTACTAATCATCACAATGAGCTTTTGTCTGAAGTGTGTAATTAAAGCAAGTTTGCAATTTTTAATTAGAAATTGAATATATTCAAGAAAATTAGAAAACCAATTTATTTTACAGAAACCTCATATATTAGCTCCTTTGGTACATCTTTTTATTTTTTGATATCGTTTTATTTATCGAATAAAACGTGTTTTGCTCTTTCAAGGCGATGTATACTTGTTTGTGTTTTTTCAAGACCTTGATAAAAGCGAGTTCGTCATTATCAAAACGGCTTGCTCCGTCACGAATGAAAGAATGAGATAGATATAATGAGAGTGAGAAAGATATGAAAATTAAAACATTTCCTGCAAAAGAAAAGTATTTCGGTGTCGAGTTCCGATCTAACACGAACAATAGAAATTAATATTACAATTTACTGTTATTATTAATTAAGTCGGCGCCATGTTAATGGGTAGTATCGAGTGCTATTAATTAATTGACTTATCGCGTTAGTTTTCGTAGATTAGTAAAGAAAACTTATCCGATATCGTGTTGTGCAATCATCAATATGAATTTGAACAGTGATTGGGGCGAAAGTTGTACATAGGATAAAGATTACGAAAAGCGGTGAGTTATTGAAATAAGAGTTATCATCCGTTTTGATCATTACCTTGCATGATCGTCATCGTTAAATTTAGTGTTTGTTATCTTTAAAATAAAAAGGGTGCACCTTAATTATTACATTAGAAATGCCTCAATTTGACAACAAAGACTGAATTTAAACGCGCAAGTACTAGTTGTTGTATGATGCAATAATTACAATTGTGAACACTGAATTACACAATAGTTTTAATTAAGATTTTCTTTTATTAGAACAAAATATATTTTTATAAATGATCTTTACGGACTTTTGTGAATTACGTAAAAGAATTTTGGTTATATTAATTAATTTTTATAAAATAACA